CTGCTAAGGGAACCTGGTGTCCTTCAGCTCGGACCACCTGGATATGAGCGGCATGACCCCGCTGCAGATCACACCACCCTCCGAGAAGAAGCGGGTCCTCAAGCGGCCGCCCATCCTGGAGGATTACATCAATGTCACGTCCACTGAAGGCACCAGGGTCTTCATGGTCGTGAGGGATGATCCCTCCAGGACAGGGGTGGAGGTAAGGAGGGGTTTGAAGGCTGAGCTTGCTTTTGCATGACCATGGCTGGATGATCTCCATCCAGTTTAGGAAGGGGTCTTTGGTGGAGCATGAAGTATTTGTGCTGGGATGTCTGAATGTCACTGTGTGTCCTCTGCTCCTTGCAGCTCCCTGATTCCCTGGGCTGGAACGCACGCAGGCCGCTCCACTTGCTGGGGGTGCCTTTCTCCTACCTGAAGGAACAAGTGAATGAAGAGGTATCGCATCTCAGACCGACCTTCCCATCTTCCTCTCCTACCCCTGGATGGCTGCAGCATTGGCTCCCGAATCCCTGCTCCCCCTGGTTTAAGGGTTGTCTCTGACCCCCCTCTCCCCCTCTTTGTGCTCCAGCGTCGAAGGCACGTGCTGGAGACGTCGCAGCAGCTGACAGAGATGATAAACAGGTGAGAAGTTGGGATGAAATCCCCCTCCTATCCCTGCTGTGCTGTCCCTATCCCTGATGCAGCTCCCGAGATGCTCCAGTGGGGTCCAGGTTTTGGGGACCTGTGAGCAGAGGAGCCTCTTTGCCCTCAGCACCCCCAGCTTGGGAAGGCTGGGTGGGATTCCCAGCCCTGCCCCGATTCTCTGAGCGGTTTGGGGCAAGTTAATTCTTTCCTGCAGTTGCCTCGAGAGCGAGCCCAGCACCGAGAGTCTGGAGCCCAGCAGGGAAGTGGAGCCAGCAGACGAGGAGGAGTCCACGCTGCATTGCCTCTGGGTTGATAAATTTATGCCCCGGCGCTACATGGAGCTGCTCAGTGATGATGTGAGGGGCTGGGATGAGCGAGGGCTTGGGGTTTGGGTGGTTTCACCACTTTTATAACTCTCCATGATGGTTTTGATGATGGGGCTTTGTAAAGCACTGGCTGGGGAAGGGGGACCTGTCCATGACCTGACCTCTGGGTGGTTTTTCAGCTGTAGGCTGTGGATCTTCTGCCAAAAAAGACTATGAAAGATGACCAAAATAAGACAGAAAAGATTTGGTGGGCTTTAGCCAGGAACTGTCAGATCCTTGCGAGGTTTGACGGGGTTTGCTTGCTTTTTGCCCGCCGTGCAGTACACAAACCGCTGCCTCCTGAAGTGGCTCAAGCTCTGGGACACGGTGGTGTTTGGGAAGGAGAAGGCTGTGAAGAAGGCCAAGCCCAGCACTGAAGCTCGTCCTCCGTTCACCCAGCCCAAGGAGCAGCAGAGCAAGTGGAAAACGAAGGTCCAGCTCACAGAGGAGATTCTGGAGGCTGAGCTGGACCAGCACAAGAGACCCAAATACAAGGTGAGCAGGACAGGATGCTGCTGCGGTGGCTCTCCTGTCCCCTCATCCTGTCACTGGGGGGAGGAGCAGGGTCTTCCCTTTCTCTTCTCTTCCAGTACAGATCTGGGAGAAATTGGATTCCTTGTTTCTTCTTACTGAATATGGGGTTTTTCTCATTTCTTCTTCTGTTTCGGCTTGAGTCATGGTATAACAAGGGGACCAGGCTTCCTCCAGCCAAGTTAAATGGGCCAGTTGAGGAAAGACGTACGCTTTTTAGCAGAGGTTGGTCTTCACTTTATTTGCTAGGGGCAGACGTGACATGCCTTTGAGCTAGAATTTCTGTAATCTGGAAAAGAGCAATGGTGCTAAATGCTAAAGGGAGCAGAGCTGACACACCCAGAGGATGTAAAAAAGGGGAAACAGAACTAGATACAAACAGCATTGCTCCTGAGGAGTGTCATTCTGGAAGGGATCTTGTTCAGCCTTTCAGGATCTTGTTCAGCACAAGAGATGCTCCCAGGATGACTGTGTCACCTCTGAGAGTTTCTCTTACGTTCTTCCTCCAGTGACTTTCTGTTTTCTCAGTGTGTCTTTAAACCAGTGCAGCATCTCCTAAGGGCTGAAGCAGCCCAGTTTCTAGGCTGCAGAGCCCCATTCCCATGCATGGCAGCCTTGGTCAGTGCTGCAGGAAGCCTTGCCTCACTGACTGTACCTCTCTGACGCAGGTTGCCCTGCTCTGCGGCCCGCCCGGCTTGGGGAAGACCACACTGGCCCACGTCATCGCGAGGCACGCGGGGTACAACGCTGTTGAGATGAACGCCAGGTGAGTCTGTGTCAGCTGTGAGCTGGTGGAGGTGGTGCTGTGCTGGAGGTGGTGCTG